GCTGTCGGAGGGTCAGCGCTGAGGGGAGCGGGCGCTGTCGGAGGGTCAGCGCCGAGGGGAGTGGGCGCTGTCGGGTGGGAGGGTCAGCGCCGAGGGGAGTGGGCTCTGTCGGAGGGTGGGGGAGGCTCAGCACTGAGGCTAGTCTCCTGCTGTCTTCCCTCTGTCCAATGACCAGGCGTTGTCTATTCTCTGCCATATCAGACATCCCAGCCAATGGCGTCTACTTCCTGAGCTATGAGTGGCTGAAGGAGATTTTGACCCCTCAGGGTGAAAGGTCAGTGGGCAACCAATTTCACCCCCAAAACTGGGGAGGGTCGCATCTCGAGATCTGCACCTCTCTCTCTCCCCCTGCCGCAAAAACCCCCCAGAAGGCTCACCCCAAATCGGTGACAGCTGCTCCCCTATCAACGTCACCCCGCGGAACTCCCCAGTTACCCTCAGGACCCCGAAAGGTGGTGTCGGGGAAGGCGGTGTGGGGGCAGGAGCCATTCCAGAGGCCTGGGGTCCAATTCCGAAGCTGACGGCAAAGGCATCCCGGCCTGGAATTTGGGGGACGAGGGAGGGGGTTGGGGTGGGGTGGAGGGTGGGGGGGGGGGGGGGGGGGGGGGGGGGGGCGGTCTGCGGGGAAGCATCGGGGGGGAGGGGGGGGGGGGGCAGGCAGGAGACGCGGATTTAGGAGGCATCGGAGGAAGGACGTGCACGTCTTTCCTGGGATTTCGTATCCCGAAGGGGCGGCCGATGTGGTGTGTCTCGGAAACACGCCCTCGCCCCCGCCGTCTCCCCACCCCACCCCCACCAACCTTCAGGAGGAGGCCGGAAGACTAAAAGGGGACAGGAAGGGCGCGTGGGGCGGTGTAATGAATGGGAGGGGGGGAAGGGGGTGACAGGCAGAGGGGCAAATCGGGGGTGGGGGGAGGCGGGGCACGGGAACTCTTGGGGGGCGGGGGGCTCGGTCATGTTCCTGTTTTGGGGGGGGGGAAGGGGTGACTAGGGTTTGGAGTTTATGGCCTCCCCTCTACCCACCCCCCCAAACCCCTCCCCACCCCCACCCCCACTCCTCTCCCATGGGCACTACCACACCCCCTTCCCCCTCCCCGCCTCCAACCTCTCAAAAGCCTATTCTTGTTCTTTGCCCCCAATAGCGTTGCCAAGCTGAGCACTCCCAGAATCCTCTTGGCCGGAGGAATGGCGGGCATATTTAATTGGATGGTAGCCATACCAGCCGACGTGATCAAGTCTCGATTCCAGACCGGTGAGTGACTGGGGTGCGGGGGGAGGAGGAGATCCACGCACCCCACCCCAGCCGAGCAGCAGGCTCCGTCGCCCCCTAC